GGCCACATCCCAAGGTGGGCGGGACTTACTCTCCGTGGTTCCCTGGGGCCGTCCGGGGGCGAGTAGGGTCCCAGCAAGGCAGGTGGACACAGCACGCTTCCCGCTTCCGAACTTCGCCCTCCAACCCCAGGGCGGCTTCTGCGCGTCTCTGGCCAGATCGCGCCCAGCTCTGCCCTTGGAGCCCGGCCTCCTCCACCTGTTGCGTTTAGTCCGCTCTGTTGGCTGCTCAATCTCCGGCTCCAGGCGGGTTTTTAAAACCCGAGGGCCGGAGGGCAGCGGATGCTGGGCTCACTTACAGCCTGTCGCTTCCCGCTCGCGTGACCCCCAGTGGCGTGTGTCCAGACTCAGTGGGGAGACCCTGAGTTTGGACAGTCGTCGTCCAGGTTTCTCTTCTTGCTCCTTGCTGTTACTGGACCCCTGTCCCTCCTGCTGAAACCCATCTCCCGGGAAAATTTCCCGCAGGAGTTAAAAAGATGCCGGCTTCGAGGCGCTGGCAGCTGACTGTGCTGGGTCAGGCGCTGAGGCCCACAGAGTACAAGACAGACGCTCCCTGGTCCAAGGAAAAGGCCTGCTAGCTCCTTGCTTCCCACTCCTCCCCATCTGCTCTCCTACTGTACCACCTGGTCAGCCCTGGGTCCTGACAAACAGACCCACATTTTCCAGACAGCGTAGGGCAGGACTTCCTGGGGCAGTCATTCACCTGCCTTTTGCCCCACATGTCCACAGTGTTCTCAGAACCCTGCAGGTCCTCCGGCTTTCCTCACTCAGTTCGCCCAGCTCTGATCAGCAGCCCCAACACGGAGCTCAGATGGCCCAGGCTGCGCCCCATGTGTCACACCCTGGACTAACGACTGAGCAAAGTCCTTCAGTCCTTGATCAAACACACCCACACACTGGTCTGGACACACACACAGAGCAATTTCCGAAGTTCTTTTCTAAATATCAAGCCCCAGTGGACTCTTACAGGAGTCCCGCAGTAAGAACTAACAATAATTTTTTTCAAGACCTTTTTTCTCCTGGAGAACTGGGTTCTGGTTTCTTGTCTTTCCCGTCTGCATAAAAATAATTTTCAGAGACCGAAATGAATGTCTGTGGGAGACCAGATGCCGAGAGATTAATTTTCTGCCTTTCAGTTATTTTTTACAGTTCTCTCCCTCCCTCTTCCTTCCTTCCTTCCTTCCCTTCCCCTCTCCTATAAGCCATATGTTGTGCACTGGGAACCTGCACTCGAGTCCGTCTGGGTGCTCCCTGGGCTGCAGGGCCACAGCAGGGACAAACCCACTTGGCTGGCCCATACCACATGTCAGTGCAGTGCGATCCTCATCCAGTTCCGAATTCCAAACTGATCCCGACGCACTTTCTGACGTGGAGAACAGCGGCGCCAAGGCTTTTGACAGATAACTGCAGGGGGCCTAATGACAGTCGCTTGGGCGCGGCTCCCGGTTTACCCGCACATTCACCCGTCTCTACCTTCACATCCTGCCAAGAAGATCATGATCAGGAATCTAGAGTTTTAATTTCCTCCCTGCGAGCACCGGGCAGCCTTTTGGTAGGACTAAGTGTTGAGTGGAATTTGCCCAACCTGGGACTGCAATCCCGACAGTCAGGCCAGAGGCTCGCCCGGCCGCCTGGCTGCTGGAGTCCAACCTAGCCAAGCTCCCAGAGCTCGGAGCCAGGCTGGGGTGGCACACGCCACCTCTAGAACCCCAGCCACTTCCCCGCTCTGACACTGGGGGTTCCAGCCATGATTTTACATAGATCATAGTTCCTTTTAGAAGTGAAGTCTTCCGTCAGAGGCCTGGAGAAGTCTGTGAGCCAAGAAACGCTTGTACCGGGATCGCCAGGCGGGCTGCTCAAGGATTTGCATGGAGCAGGCAGAAGCGACCTGACCCAGCCTCAGTGTAGATCCACGCCTGCAAACGAAGGCAGAGCCTTCAATAGAAAGGGGCCTCCTCTGAGACGGGCACAGCCAGCTCACTGTCACCCGAAGCGCCTCTGCAACTGGGTCACAGGAGCAAAGGAGGCTACAAATGATTTTCCTTTTCTCCCCCTAAATGATCTTACTATTGTCTTCCAGGCACTGGTTTCATTTTACATGCGCAGAGAGAGTGCAGGTGGGTTCCAGGACCACTCATGAAACTCTGTTGGGGACGCCCCTGGACTCTTTCTGGCTGGTTCCTCTTTCGGAGGGAACGGCGCTGCTTCTCTAACCTCTGTCCAGGGCTGTAAGACACGGCTCTTGCCTACCAAGCGCTACTGTTGGGTCACTCCTTTGCCAGTTAGAGCCTGTACAGTGGCCAGTGTGACACCGGACTTGTGGCCTGCTGGCTCAAGACAGGAGATGTAGCCTAAGTGGAGACGGCCTTCCAGCCACAGGGAGTCAGGAGGCAGGGTGGGGGTGTCTCTGACTTAGGAGTCTTTAGAAAGAAGGGAGAGGCCCAAGCCTCAGAGACTGGGAGAGGGGCTGGAGTACCCAACGCAGGTGTGGTGTATGCTTTGATCATCAGGCCTGTGACCTGTTGCACGAGTTTCTGTGAAGACCCTGGCTCTCAGCCTGGTTTGTTCTGGTGGCAAGTGGATGCCAACAGCATGGGACCCTTAGTCCACACCGATAACTTGACTCTCTTAGGTCAGATTTATAGAGCACTGGCCAGAGAGAATGTGGACTCCTTATGTCTTTGGAAGTGGCCCAGCTGTTCAGAGCCTGAGGGTGGCCATGTACCCACCTCCGGATCTACAGGGCCCTCCTGGTGGATGAAGGTACAGCTAATCCTCTGGTTGTACAGAAACCTCTGAGCCTTCAGCAGGGGAAAGGCTGGAAAGGAGAAAATAATTATGGGTCGTCTTTTCATCCGGGAGCTTCAGGCCCCCAACGTTCACACAGGCTCAAGCTGGCTGCTTCCCTTTTTTACATTTTTATAGTAGTGGCTGGTTTATAAATTTACTACCAGACCAGAACCCGTGGGCGCTTGGGGGTGGCCTCAGTGTCCTGGGGGAGTCAGGCACCAGGAAGGAGTCTGCAACAACCCATCCTGAGAGAGAGAATGCACCCCCGGGAGCACAGGACCAATACCAACGAACAGCCCAGAGTCCATGCCTGGGCTCAAAAACAAATAAGACAGTGATAGTGGTTTCTCAGCTGCTTGCTTCAGCTGTTGGGCTTTCCTTTATCTGAGTTTTGACGCTGTGTGTGCCAGGTGGAAATCCACCTTAGGTCCTTTCTCTTCCCCAGCAATTTCCCTACGAAGTGCTCTGTGGCCTCTTTCAATCGTTTGGAGGCAGAAAACCTGGAAAAGGTCTAGCTCCTCGGATACTGCTCATAAGAAGTGATCTAGGAAATGAGAACCACTCTGTGGCTGACTCCCGCTCCGTCCTCAAAAAGGAAGTGAGAGCGTTTTTCCCCGACAAATGGAATCATTTTATATGAAATTGGGTTAAACAGGGGTCTGTTCCCAACAGCTTCTCCATACCCTGAAAGCACATGCTCTTCCCCAGGGTGGATGGATGGATGGGGAGGGGTGCCCAGACATTTTCTGGAGTCCCGATAGGGCTGTCTCAGCTGCTCTCAGGGTCAACTAAGTCTTTTGACATCAAGCCTAGGAGAAAGCTTGTCTATTTTCTCCACTGGGAGTGGTTTTTTTTTTTTCTTCGTAAGGACCAACTTGAGCAGCTATATTTTATGCACTCCCCATCTTGCCTTCCGAGTTTGCCTTAATTAGGGGGTGGGCATGTAGGGTTGGGGGCCCCGGTTCATGTCAAAACTGTCAAAGGAGGGGGGAGGGGACAGAGAGAGAGGGCAGTGGAGAACTCCAGAGCAGGAAAAATTCAAAAATCGTAAAGGGAAAAGGGGGAACTTGAAGCCCAGAAGTCATTGTTTCCTTATTTCAAAGGGAAAAACCTGCCTGATTCTCATCCTTTTGATTGATTAAGGCCCTGAATACCTCGAGGCCCCGGAGTGACAGTCCCTGAATAGACTTGAGCGAATAAAGCACAGCGCAGAACGCGGGGCTGGCACTCGGGGGTGTAAAGGAGGCGAGTTCGCTGGCACTTACCAAGTTATAAATAAAAGGCCATGCACAATGGTACCTTCTCTAAGGACAGACAGTCTTTACAACACTCCTGGCGTCATATCCTGCTGGGGACACTTCAGCTCCTAGCCAAGACTTCACTCCTTTTATTTTTCCAGCAGTTTAGTCTGAATGCCATAATAAATTCCTGAGAACAAACGCGGCAGCCGGGCAAAACTTCAACATATACACGCATCTCTGCATCAGGGATCTGTACATGGAGATTTAGAGTCCCAGCTCCTCAGAGCCGTTTTTAAAACAAGAAAATGAGATTCCCCCCCTCCCAAGGGTAAGCCTTCAACGAACAATCCTAGAGTCTAGCCACAGCGGCCTGGGCTTCAAGAACCCCACTCACCCCCACCCCCAGATTAAGAAGACAAAAGAACTTTATAGGGACCCCCCTGGACGCTCCCTGAGAGGAACCCCGCAGGGAGGATCCCTAAGAAGCCCAAGCCGGGGGGCACTGAGCAGACTTCTTCGGGGCTCCCGATGCCTTTTTAGAAGAATCGCGCTCCCTGTAGAGGTAGAGAGACCCGAGAGAGCCCCGCAGGTGGAAGTGGACACCTAGGGACAGAACGGCAGAGACAGAAAAATGCAAACGCGGAGAGACACACAGAGAGACAGAGGAATAGCAAGCCAAGGAGGGAGCGCAGGGACACGGCCCAGAGGGTAACGGGCAGAGCCAGAGACCCCTCTGCCCTCAGCGGCTCTCGTCCTAGTCCCCGCGGGCCCTTCCCGCGCTCTCGGGGAAGGGGCGCAGCGCGGGTCCCCGTCGGGCCGGAGAGGCCTGGGCGCCGTCAGGGATGGGAAGAGAAAGTGGCCGCTGTCGCCCAATCAGCGCGTGTCTCCGCCACCCGGGACGGTCTCCCCGTCGGCCAATCGCAGCTCAGGGCTCCTGACCAAGCTTTGGGTGAAAGAACTAATAAATGCTCCCTAGCCGGGATCCCTGCACTCGGTGTCACGACGGGAGGAGACTCGGGCCGCGCTCCAGCCTCGCCCCCTCCCCGCTGGCCGTGGCGTCCTGAGCCCCCTTGCCAGCGCCCCCAGCCGCGGGGCGGTCCGCCCAGAATCGCGCCCAACTTTTCCGCCCTGGGTTTGGGGTCTCGGACTCGGGGGCCTCCCGCCTGCCCCACTCCCGGATCCCCTCTCCAGCCGCCTCTGGACTCGCAGCTCGCAGGGCTCCTTCCCCGCGCCCCTCCCTCCCTCTCCAGCCTTTTTGGGGAGGAGCTCTTCGCGCTCCGGAGAGTTCCCGGGGGTCACCCGCTGCGCCGCTCTCGCCTGTCCTTGTCGCCTTCACCTGGATATAATTTCCGAGCGAAGCTGCCCCCAGGATGACCACGCTGGCTGGCGCAGTGCCCAGGATGATGCGGCCGGGCCCGGGACAGAACTACCCCCGCAGCGGGTTCCCGCTGGAAGGTAAGGAAGGGCCGCAGCGCCGCCGGATCCCCGGCCTGGAATCGGCCGCCCGCCCCATCCCGGGTCTCCAGACTCCCGGGGCGTTCAGGGCGCCCCTGCCCCTTGAAGCTCCCTCCCTAAGAAGCAAGGGCTGGGACCGGGCCCTACTTGATTTTCTGTCTGCAAGTGTAGCGCGGTCCTCTCAGCAAACGCTTGCGGAGCTTGGAGGCAAGGCCTGCGCCGGGCCGGGTGCACTCTCCCCTGTAGCTTTGGAGGTGCGATGGTGAGATAGGGAGCGAACCCGCTTCGGAGCGCCAGAAGCGACTTCTCCCCATTCTGTCCACCCAAAGCCATTTCAAAACTGAGCCTCCGCTGCGGCTTCATTTAAGAAATTCTTGTTAGTTTGGGAAGACTTTCCCGATGGTGGCTGACTTGGCCCGCGCTACTTTAAATGGAATTATTACTACTAATTATAGTTCCATTCAACCCAATCTCGAAGTTTCCATAACTTGTTTGGAAATCTCCTTTTGGGTTTACCTGGACATTCCAGGAGTCTTAGGGAGGTAGGAAGCCGTGCTAGCTCCAGTCCTTCCAAACAATTTGCCGGGATTTGGGCGCCCAAGCAGGGATTCTGGCGGCCCCAATGGGGAACGGGTTGACCTTAAGCAGAACGTGGGCTCTGGCTATCTCTGTCCAGAGGTGTAACAGGTGACAGGCGCTGCCCACTGTACCGCCTTTTGGGGTCCACTGTCTCTCTCTTGGCTGCTGCAAAAGCCAAGACGGAAACCCCAAGGACTACCAGCTTTACCAAGACCCCTGGGGAAGCTCCTTTGGGTCAGGTTTGGTGGCAGCTCCTATTCCTAGAGCAGGACAGACTCCGCAGGAGCCCCACGGTCTTCCCCCAGCCTGCCAGCCCTCTTGGGCCCACAGGGAAGACCGTTCCTCTGGAGGGAGTTCGCTTGCCCCAGTTACTATCACACCAGACTATATGCTCTGCAGCTGCTTAATAATTTGAACAAAAAAATAATTTGACCAAATGAGACTGAAGGAGGGTCTGGGGCTGGGAGTCGGAAGTCCAGCAGTTTCAAGGATGGAGCTGTCACGTGTGGATTGGCCGGAAGAAAGAAAAACGAAGTGGGTTCTTCCGCATGTGGCTTTCTATTCTCCGCAAATGACTTTCCCTTTGCTTCTTTCTCTTTGTTGCCTTCTCCTTCCAGTATCCACCCCGCTTGGCCAGGGCCGGGTCAACCAGCTTGGCGGGGTCTTTATCAACGGCAGGCCGCTGCCCAACCACATCCGCCACAAGATCGTGGAGATGGCCCACCACGGCATTCGGCCCTGTGTCATCTCGCGACAGCTGCGTGTGTCCCACGGCTGTGTTTCTAAGATCCTGTGCAGGTACCAGGAAACAGGCTCCATCCGTCCTGGTGCCATTGGCGGCAGCAAGCCCAAGGTGAGCGCTGGGCTTGGCCTTGCCACCTAATAGCCTGCAGTTAACCAGACGGGGAAGGAAGGGCTGGGAGCAAAGGGTGCTGAGGCTTCCCAAAGAGCGAGTTTTCAAGTCCATGAACGTGTGTGTGTGTGTGTGTGTGTGTGTGTGTGTTGAGGGCCTGGAAAAGTGGACTCAGTTGCTGCCAGAGGCTGATGCTCCTTGAGGAACTACGAAATCTCCAGCTTCTCCTGCAAAGGAAAACTAACATTTTTAAGTGTCCAGGAACTGCGATTCTCATCAAATTATTTTAACAAACACTTAACTCACCTGAGCTGTGAGCCTGAAAGCGCCTACCTGTTAGCTTCTCCGCAGTTGACTGCCCAGCCCCCACCCACTGTGCTGCCCTTTCCAAAGGAAGCTAACGAGTCTTTTTTTTTCTTTAAAACTGTTTCTCCCCCAACCTCAGTCTCCTTCAGAGTAAATTGTTTCCCAAGTGCCAAAAGCCAGGGCAATTAGTTTTCTTTGGAATGAGCCTGAAGACTCCCAGTTTTAAAAAGGCTGTTTGGTGCTAACCTCAAATTATTTTGTTTCTTCTTATGGGACAGGCTCACACAGGGTCTGTCTTTTTTTCTGGCTTGCGGGGAAGCCAGTCCGACTTTCCAGTTGCCATGGGGCAAAATCCAGAGGGTTAGAGCAAAGTGAAGACTTCCACATCTTGTCCTTTCTTTTCTGTCCTTTCTTTTCTTTTCTGTCTAAGAATCTTTGCAGACACTTTTTTTTGGAGTGGGGCTGGGGGCGAAGAGTCAGTCTCTCAAATTATAGGTATTTATTTTTCATTGTAATTTTTAAACTTTTGTATCTAAATCCATTCTTCACTTGAGCTGTAATCTTGTTGCCCCTTCGGCATGGTACAAGTTCCCGATCTAATTTGATTTCTTCAGCTCTTCTTGCAAGCATTTCCCTTTTTAGTTTCATTTTCGTGTTGATTCAGTGTAAAGACTTGCCTTATTTCCAGGGATCGGAAAAGTACAGCCGACAGCCCCTCCATGTTCTAATTCTTTATTTAACCCCGCTGTCTGAACTTATCCGGGCAGGTGGAGGGTCCCCAGGCTGGTTTGGAGTGGATCCTTTTCTGCTGGCCTCTTTCTAAAGTGAACTGCCTCGGAGGAGAGTTGAGGTTCTTTAGCTGAAAAGGGGGAGCCTGCCCAGAGGATGCAGCCAGGAGCTTTGGGACAGGCCCAGGGGCAGCGGGGCCACCATACCTGGCCCAGAGTACTGGGTACCAACGCCTGCCTGCCTGTTCTCTTAAAGCAGGTAACAACTCCTGATGTGGAGAAGAAAATTGAGGAATACAAAAGAGAGAATCCGGGCATGTTCAGCTGGGAAATCAGAGACAAATTACTCAAGGACGCTGTCTGTGATCGAAACACCGTGCCCTCAGGTACCAAGCCCATCAACTGCTCCCAGAGGCTCAACCCGTCAGTCCCTATTACCCACAAGGGTCTTCCAGCCATAATCGCCCCAATTATGGAGGCAGCCTCTGCCAAGGCCCTGAAATATTCACAAACCAGGCATTTCTGGCGTCTGAAGGACCTCAGGGAGAGGTGCTCATCCCAGGGGTGGAGGGTTTGACAGACCACCACCGAGGGCTCCCCAGAGAGGCTTTCCACCTAGGAGGCAGAGCAGAAAGCGGGAGGTGGAGGCCAAGCATTTATTAATATTGATGGTCCCTTTTAAAGAGAAACAAATGTTTTGGTAACCCCAACTGGAGGGAGGCTGGCAGAGCCAGTTCAGACTTTGCGGTGTATTCAAAGACGGGAGGGGAACCACGGTCACCCCGATTTTCCCGAGAGTCCCAGGGACCTTTGGTCACCACGGGCAAACTGGGGGAGGCAGAGGGAAAAGGACCAGAACACGGTCAGAGCCAGGGCGTGCGGCAGAGTTTGTTTTTAATTAGTAGGAAATCTCCCTTTTTTCCCCCTCTGCGAGAACGATATATTTCAGAGCATGGATTTGTTTACTACTCTGGAATCTGGAAAAAATAAATGAGGGAGAGTGCCTTTGCTTTTGATTTTTACAATAGGAAACGATTCGGCAGTTGAAATTTAATCCCTATTTTATAGCCTCCAAAAGTTGATTTGGAAGGGACAGACAGGTCCTGTGTGGCTCCTCACTTAACCGGAACCAGGGGCCCAGTATCTTCAGGCGGGGAGGAGACAGGGAGAGTGCAGCGTGGGCTGGAGGAACTCTGCCGGGTCGGAGACCTAGAGTCCTGGGTACCTACCGAGGAAGGGAGCCGCTTCTGGCCAGGACGACAGGGACAGCGATGGCGTTTCTGGGATCCAACTTGGAGGCGCTTTCTGGCTCCGATTTTCTGACCTAGAGGCTCAGGAAAGGGCGCTGGGGTGTTGAGCAGGATAGCGAGGGGGCGGTGAGGGGGCAGGCACGGCCGGTTGCGGGCGGTCGTCCCAAAGCCGCTGCTGGAGGTTTGAGGCTCAAATGGGTGCGCGCCCTTCCACCTCTTCTCCCCAGTGAGTTCCATCAGCCGCATCCTGAGAAGTAAATTCGGGAAAGGCGAAGACGAAGAGGCGGACCTGGAGAGGAAGGAGGCAGAGGAAAGCGAGAAGAAGGCAAAACACAGTATCGACGGCATCCTGAGCGAGCGAGGTAAGCGGCCGCGGCGCGTTGGGCTGTGCGCTCCCAGCCTTTGACGTCGAGGCCTGAGGCGGCCCAGCCCCGGCCCCTGGCTCGGCTCAGTCCCTGCTCGCCCACAGCCCTGCACTTGGGTCTGGATTTGCAAGTGAAGACCAGGGAGATGTTTGCTATTTAAACAAAACTTTTCTCTTGTCTAATGTTAAAATGTTGTAATTTTTCCTCCTGCACCACTTTCTAGGACTGCTCCTTGTGTTGTAAGGTGGTGAGATGTGTGTGTGTGTGTGTGTGTGTGTGTGTGTGTGTGTAAATGGTCTGAGTGACTGGAGTGAGGACTAGGGACAGAGGATATTTAGGGCTCCTGAGCTTGAAGTAGCTTTTATGCTCTCAGGAAAAGCCAGAATTAGAGAGAGAGAGAGAGAGAGAGAGAGAGAGAGAGAATAGCCACCTGAAGTTGCCCCACATCTACCTTGTGAATGTGTGTTTTTCCATGCATGCCTGCATGTGTTTGTGTGTGTAAGTTGGCTGTTTTTGATTTGTTTTGAATTGGTTTTCAAGTGTGAGGGGGTTTAACTTGCATGTATCTTGGAATCCAAACTCTGGATTGCAACAAGTCAAAGAGATCTGTGCTCTTGTGTCCTTAGAGCTGGTACCCTCTGTCCCTCCGGGGCGCGGACCATCCACTCCATGTTGGCTATGGCCTGTCAACACCAGGAGATAATTTCCCCCAGGGGAGCAAAAATTGCAGCCAGCTTCCCCCTTACCTGTTGCTTAGAGTTATCTTTGAACAGACAGAGAGAGAAAGAGAGAGAGAGAGAGAGAGGGAGGGAGAGAGACAGAGAGAGCTGATGCTTGGAGACATGAAAGTGGGGAAGACCATTCTGCAGCAGAAGGGAGGATTTTCTTTCAGTGTCTTTAGCCTTGCCAATCGGCACATCTTTTCAGATGATCAGGAGGGACCAGGTGCCCTGCCTACACCTGGAGACCAACCCGCGACTCCTTCGGGCTGAGCTGAGTTTGAGAAGTTGTCCCGAGGGGCTGGGGAGCCTCCCGTGGGCTTGGAGGAGTCATCTACTTTGACCAGTGGGATGTGTGTTCTCGCTGGGTTTGCATGGGGTGAGGCTTGGGTCAGAAAGTTGATTGCTTCCTTTACCTTCATTGTCAACCCTAGGGCAGCTTGCCTTCTACAGCTTACACACCAATGAAATTCTCAATGCAAGGAGCACGTAGAATTGAGTGTTACTGATCCAAATGGCTGATTTCAGGGATCAACAGAGGAGTATATGCTCTGGAAACATGCAGGCAATCAAGTAAAGATAACCCAGGGGTGAAGGTCTAGCTCATGCATGAGCCTCTGGGCTCAATATTTAGCAATGGGAAAAAAAAAATTGAAAAACAAATGCAGAAGCAAAAGCCACCCCAAACCACAGCAGGTCCAACAGGGTGATAACATATGCTGCTCCTTTGCTCTATAGCAGGGAGCTCACAAGGACTAAGTCTAAGTCCCTGTATTTTGGATGGGTATTTTCTGTCCTGATGTCTCAGAAGACACCTCTGCTTTTACCCTAGCCATAGCTGGAGCACTGAGGTGCTGGGATGGGAGGAAACTGAGGAGCCCTGGAGTCAGGCAGCCCCAAATCTAACAGTGTTTCTGAGGCTGTAGGCGCTCGGAGTTGGAGAGGCTTCCGGGCCCCTGGCTTTGCTACTTGTTGCTGGCGGTGCTAGGCGGGCAACTCCAGCCGCTCCCTCAGAGCACAGGCACCCGAGGCCCAGGAGACAAAACGTCCCAAATGAGCTGGTCAAACATTTGTACAACTTTTCCAGCTTTTACAAAGAAGGCCTTCTCTACACAATCTACACTTGGAGATGAACTTGGGAGACAAAGCCCGGAGAGTCCATTGAAACTCACACTTTAGCTTGGACCAGACAAAGCTCCAGCTCCGAGCAGCTTGATGTGAACAAAGGAAGGCAACCTTTTTATAATTCAAGGAGAAAAGAAGAGAAAACAGCCCCACAAAGGGCCCAGAATAGACATTATGGGCTTGCAATGAGGGATGAATTATTCAATGAGCCCCAGTAGCTGCTGAGCCAGGAAGTTTTATGGACTCTCCAGCGTGGAAAAAGTGGCCATTTCACCTACAAAATGTTTCTAGTCTTTTGGGCCGTCTAGCTGGGCCGGCTGCCATTCACGGGCAATTGCTACCATTTTAAAATCAGAGTATTCTCCCCAGTGGGGGCTGTGCCGTTGAAAACACACACACACACACACACACGCGCGCGCGAGCACACGCACACCCCTCAGAGGCTGAAGCTTAATTTAATTTCGGGTTGTCAAGGAAGATGCAGTCAGTGTCTTCAGTGCCTCCAGCTCTTTTTCCGGATGAGCCCTGGAGCGCCAGAGGGGCCCACAGAAAGGACAGACGGAGACGTCCTATGAAGTTTAGAAACCTCAAAAATTCTCCTCTGTTGTTTGGGCGTCAAAAGTCTCTGGCTGCCCCGCTCGGCTGGCTTGTAAAATAGAATGAATGTTGAGAAAAGGCTCCCGCAGCCCCGGCGGAGGGGGAGGGCGAAGCGGACGGAGGAGGGACTTTGGCAATCCGCGCAGCTAGAGGTGCTCTCGCCGGAAGGTGCAGCGGTGGGTGCTGCTGAGATTGGCTTGCTAGGGGACATTTCGGGCCCGAGATCTGCTAGCTGGAGCTAGGACAGAAGGAGAGAGGCAGCCCGAATGGGATCACACCCAACCTCGTTCTTTGCCTTCCCAGCTTGCCCTTTTCCCTCGCCCAGTCCAAGAGCGGCGCAGCTTGCTCAGAGGGCCAGGTGCGCGGCGGCGGGTGCGCCCCTTCTGGGTCCCTCCTTCGAGCTCCGTCCCCCGGGTGAAAGGAGAGGCTTGCACGGCCCTGGAACACCCAGCCCCTCCCACTCCGGCCCCGGCCCGCACCGAGATCGGAGCAGGAGCACCCGCAGGAGCCAAGGCCGGCCCGGGCGCCGGGGGCTTTGCGCATTGCCTGCTCAATGGGCGCCTCTGTTCCTCCCTCGGCGCGGCCGAGCGGCCCGCGGGCGCCGCCACAATGGGCTGGGCCCCCACTCCGCGCCCTGCGCCCAAGCGCCGCGCCCCTCCCCTGCGCTCCGGCCGGCCCGCAGCTTAGCTCGCCGGGCTGCAGCCGACTCAATTGCCCCCTTTATGTGCTGCTCACTTTCATCTAGACACAGCCCGCCTCCCCTCCTCCTCTTTTTTTTTTTCTCCCTTGCCTGAGGCTCACATTAGTGAAATTTCTGCAGCCTCCTCCCCCATTTTTTCTTATTTTAAAAGAAAGCCCTTAACACAAAAGCGGTGACTAATCAATAGAAACTGCTCCTTCATCATCTCCTCCTCCTCCTCCTCCCTTCCCCCCTCCCCCCGTGACGCTTTTCCTGTTTGTGAGTTTTGGGCAATATTTTGGCTTCGTGCTGTAATAGAATTAGAGGACAGATGCGGACTGTAAATGGACACGCGCCTGCGAGACTCTCGCTTAAATATTTAGATGCATCGTTACAATTACTGACTTGTTGTAGCGGCTTTGAAGTGGCAGTTCGGGAGTGCGAGGGGAGAGAGGCCAGATTGCCAAATTGATGTTTTGATTGGGACTGGAGATACACTTTCCTTCGCGCCCCCTCCCTGTAAAAGTCACAAGCGAGCGTGGGAGGTTTGCAGCAGTTTCAAAGGTTAAGCAGAGAGGCTGCAAGAGTAGGTTGCTTGGGGGTTTGTATTCCGTTCCTATCTTTCCCTTCCAATTGGACCTTGTTGAAGAGTGCTTTTTTTTTTTTCTTTTTAATTTGAGAAAGTAAAAGTGACAAAAGTTTTGCTTTAGGCCCATTTTGGTTGTGAGCCCGTGAACTTTTCTAAAATTAACCAAGACAAACGACTTCATTTCTTCAAAAATATAAGCCCGCGAATAAAAGAAATTTTGAGGTCCTTGGAATATTTCCTTTCCAGCGGGTGCGTGAAAAGGGCGTTTTTGTCACTAAGCGAGGACTGTCACAGAGCGAAAAGCAAGCCCATTCCTATCCCCAAGTTAGCACGGAGGGGAATTTTGGCGTAAGGTTGGGGACCCGGACAACGGAGGACGAACTTTCCCACCGATTGAAATAATGGGATACGGGATCATAGGCTAGTGGCGTCGGAACTTTATTAAAGGGGACAGCCCAGCCACTCCACAAGTCCATTTGTTAGGATCAGGAATTTGACTTCAACACCGTCTGTATTTTTTAGGACGTATTTTATATTTCCCAGCTCCCTTACAACACTCAACAAGGAAATAGCCCCCACTTAAAAAAAGGATGAGAGATAACAGAACTTGAATTAAGTTAGCACACCATGCTGTATTCCTTTCCGTCAGTGTAACCATAACAATTTCTCTGCCGGAGCAGTGTGAAGATCAACACCAGCGAAACACCAACGCTGGGCTGGATTCGTAGCTTTTTTTCTCTGTTGCTCGTTTGTTTGACATGGTAGGCAGAGGTACACTTACTTTCCAGCCTTATTGAAACATGCAGATTTTCTAATTAATGCTTGAAATCGTATGTTTATTTTGGAGTTTCATGTGATTGTTGCTAGCCCCGGAACGGGAGGTAGGGACTTCAAGTGCGTAATAATTACCAAGGGTCATTTAAGAGTCCCCAGGGCTGGGCTATAAAACCCACCCGGGCGGTGAAGCAGAACCAGCAAGTGCTCCTCGGTTCAGGCCAGTGGAATATGGGGGAATCCGTCACGTGAACAGGAGCATTGCCACTAAACCCGGGTGGCTCCACCGTGCACAAATATATATATATACATTTTCCGCGCAAAGCAAATATCGTTCCTAAGCTGGAGATTCAGTGTTTAAGTGATGGCTGATGAAAATCAATGCTCAATAACATCTACAGTGGCTAGAGAGAATTTGGCTTCAACTGGGATCAGGAAGGTTCCGTGGGATTCTGTGACAGGTAACTTACTTATGCGGGTAAATAAAGATTACAGAACCATTAAGAATGTACAT